TCTTATATAGTTGGGTTCTCCTACATTAGGTTATATACACTTACGATTCTTATCTCTTCCTCTTGCAATTTTCCCCTAACAAGTATATAGTGATCGCTTTTGATCATTCTTGGTTTAAAGTTCACATTGTCAGAAACTAAAATATCTACCTCTGCTTTTTTGGATTCTTATTTCATGGAGTATTGTTTTCCATCCTTTGACTTTCAATCTATGAATTTCCTTTTGAGTTAAATGTGTTTATTGTATAGAGCGCATGTTGGCTTTTGTTTCTTGACCCACTCTGACAGTCTGCTTCTTTGGATTGGTTAGTTAAGACCATTTACATTGATGGTTATAACTGATATGCATTGGCTTATCTTTGTCATATTATTTTCCTATTGTAGGTTCCCTGTTTTTCCCCAATTTATTTGCATGCTCTGCTTGGTGGTTCTTTTCTGTTGTTCTTGAAGTTGTGATCATTTTTGTCTCTTTCTAGGATGTCTGTCAGTACCCTTTGTAGGGCTGGTTCAGGGTCATGAATTTCTTCAGTTCTTTGTCATGGAAGTATCTTATTTCTCCATTAAATTTTATAGCTTTGCAGTGTTTATCAATCTGGGCTGGAAGTTGTTTTCTTTCAGAACCTGAAATACTTCATTCCAAGATCTTCCTGACTTGATGGTTTGTGTTGAGAAATCTGCTGTGTAGTCTACAGCCATACCACTCTAAATGCATCCAATCTGGTTGGATCTCGAAAGCTAAGCAGGTCGGGCCTGCTTAGTACTTGGAGGGGAGAAATGTGTTGTGATTCTGATAGGTTTTCCATTATAGGTGATTTTTTTTCTAACAATTTTTACTATTCTATTCTTTTGCTGAATTTCTGGGATCATGATAATTATATGTCTGGGTGTAGGTTTATTTTGTTTATGGCTAATTGGAATTATATATGCCTTGCTTGCCTGTATGTCAGATTCTTTTCCCATGCTTGGGAAATTTTCTTCTACTACTTTTGCAAATGTTTTTTTTTTTTTTTAAATGTCATTTTTGTTGTCTCCTGCTATTGCATTGACACCTACCAATCTTATATTTTTTTAAATCATCCTGCAGCTGTTGGATTGCACTTTCCTTGTTATTATTTTTAAGAGATCTTTCCTTTCACAATCACTATCTGTAATGCTGTCTTCAAGGTCTGAAGATCTAACTTCAGTTTCATTCAAGCATTTTTTTCCAGCTTTCAATGGAATTCTTAATTTTCTGGATATCTGTTTGAATATTTTTCATGCATTCTAATTCTTTTTCTGTATTGTTCATTCAATGTTTCCGTAATTTTTCTATTCTTCTCTATTGTTTATCTATGTCTTCTTTAGATGTGCT